CTCTCACACTCTCTCTCTCTCTCTCTCTCTCTCTCTCTCTCTCACTTACAACCTCTTCTACAACACTACCATTCGGTTACTTCTCTCTATCATCCTCCATTTTCTCTACTGGCACTTTTCTACTTAAAACCTACGGCAACCTTTTTATTCTCTCTTTTCTTTTTCCTCCCGTTCCCTTCCTCTTCGTTCCCTTCATCGCCCCCGGTTAACCAGGTGTCGCCGGGAACGACCGCTAGCTCTCCCTCGCCGTAGACTCGAGACCTTGCCCGGTCGCCTTCCTGTCGCCTTCGAAGCGCTGCTACAAACTACGATTGCTGCTCTGCTGGTGTTGCGCCGTCGTGTTATTGTTATTACCGTTCGTAGGAACCGGTCCCGCCTGTTGCTGCGGTATCTCGTCGTCGCGCAGACAGGCCGACTCGAGGTGCTTGTTCAGATAAGACTTGAGGGCGAACGTCTTGTGGCATCTCGAGCACTCGTAATTCTTGTCCGCGGAATGGGTCTGCATGTGGGCGCGGAGATTGGACCGATCGGCGAACGCTTTGCCGCAGTGCGCGCACCCGTAAGGCTTCTCCCCCGTGTGACTTCTCAGGTGGCCTTGGAGCAGCCAAGGCCTGGAGAACATCTTGCCGCACACGCCGCAGCTGTGGGCCAGCTTGTGGGTGAGCACGTGCATCGCCAGGGCCGGCATACTGACGTACGCCTTGCCGCAGTGGATGCACTTCTTCGCCGACTGGGAGTCGAGGCTGCGGTGGGTCTGCTTGTGCCGCGACAGGTTCGACGAGGTCGCGTATTGCTTGCCGCACTCGGTGCACGTGAACTTGGGCCTGTCGGGCTGGGCGGCCTCCTTGTCGGGCACCGCGGCGCCGTTCGTGTTCGCGCTTCGACGCTTCGACCGCCCGTCCGACACGAAGAACGCCTCGTACGTGTACGCCACCGTCTTGCTCCCGCTGCTCGTGCTGAAACGTGCCCTTTTCTTTATCCTCCCAATATTAACCCCTTCTGATGAAGATTTCGGGAAGATTCCACGAAAGTGCCGAATTTCGTCGAGCTAAATGGAAGGGGTTGACGCTTGTACGACTCGAGCAAGAGACGAAATTCTACTCACCCATCTCTTCCGCCGGTGCAGTTGTTGGCGTTGGTCTCGGCGGTGGCCGGCGATTGGGGCTGAGGCGTTTGCTCTTGTTGGCGCAGCTGGTTGGTCTGCGAGCTGGGGACCGGCACGAGCACGGACACGGGGATGGGCTGAGCCGTTGGGGGCGGCTGCAACTGTGCAGGTTGCGGCGGCGGCGGCGGCGACAAAGTGTGGATGAAGACAGAGTGCGTGGGCGCAGCCGGTGACGCGCTCAGGTCGAGGATCGCCTGCGCGGCGGACAGGTCCTCCTCGGCCGACGTGCGGATCTCGGACGTCGGCTGGAGGCTGTAGGGCCGGTAGATGTCCTTCTTCTTCGGGGGCAACGAGAGGGCCGTGCCTGTGCTGGTGAAGCACATCGAGAGGCTTTTTCGAGGGGGCAGGCTCAACGACGTGGGGGTCGTCGTTGGGTGTGGTTGTTGTTGTTGGTGCAGGCTGGACCCGGTCACCACTGCAGCCAGCTCCTGGGGGGCGGCCGGAGGCGGAGGGGACGGTGCCACGGGTCGGGCCAGCTCCGCGGCCGAGCGCAGCGTCGCGTACTTCGGCGGCTCCTCGTGGTTGATCCACGACTCGTGCGTGTAACCTGCGCACCAATCGTCTTTTATGTTTGGGGAATGAAGGGGGATGGATTGAATTGTTTCTTCGTGCTCTTACGAATCTTACGTCGTTTGTAATCGAAGAAATGTGCTGTTGTTCGAAATCGAAATTTTAACTCTCGCGTCATCTTTTTTCGTTGCGAAATTTCGTTAATATCGAACGGATATCGCTCGCAATGTTGATTTTATCCGAGTTAAAATTTTTGCTAATACTGAAACAGCAAATGTTATTTCTTCGACGAACGTATATCTATCCTGTATCGTTTTACTTTGTTATATATCGAGTTTATACATATACATATAATTCTATTCGGTCGGTTAAATAGAATTCAGTAGTTCGATATTAAGTTTGCAGTTTGTGTAAATCGTAGGAATAAAATGTACAACTAATTATTCTTATCTTCAGACTTGAGAGTTCTGTTCTTCTGTCAAACTTTCCTGTTGAATATATTCCAATTTCGTATTCGAAATTACGATAGGTTTTTTTCGGAGAAGGTGGGATTTGTTTTCCATGGATCAAAGAGGACTTATCGTTTTATTGGCGGATTATCGATCGAAAATTATCAATTTCGCCGTGTTGGTACAATTAACGAATTGGCTCAGTCACTGTCCGGGCTAGAATTAACACGGAATATTAAGTAATGAGGGATACACGCTCGATCAAACTTAATGGGGGATTCGGAGCTGATTAGGCTCTCCGCTAATGAATAATGCAAATTGAAGGTTTCGCGTCTCGAAATTCGTGCGATCGAAACTCGTATTCGCTGCCGGGAGGAGGGTGAGTTCGATGAACTCCTTTCACCCTTTCTAGTCAAATTGTATCGAGTCGCAAAACGTTCTAAAACGTTCCAAAGAAAAAATACAAAGATATATAAATAATAATCGCATGAAACGAAGGCGGTACGTGAATAATCATCAATTTTAAGAAAACGTGAATCGTGAAAATTTGACAAAAATTTATCTCACTCACGAGTTTTCCTTCAATTTCGAACGATTATTGGATCATCGGTCTCGAAAATTAAACGCCACGAGGTTTTCCACGCGGTTTTTTTTTTTTCGCGCCTCGATATATAAAACAACGAGCGCCCCCGAAATGACAGCCTTTAATCATCCCCCGGGATAAGGATTTCCTCGGGTGGAACGAGGGTGGAAAAATTAAAGGGCACCGATGGCGCAACCGCTCCTTCCCCCGTTCCTTTTTTCCCTCCCATCGGTGCCAGCCGGCTCCGCAACCCCCGCCATGAATTCATTTGAATTCGTGAATCACACGGAAGACCGGTGCGCCCGGTCCGTTTCATTTCCTGTTGCTGGCACGCGTCAGCTGGTCCTAGCGTGTGCGATTGTTAACGAGAAAACGACGAAAATGAAGGAGGAGGGGTGAGGTTCTATTGTACGGCATGGGATATCTGTTGCATACGGGGGGGGGGGTGCGTACGAGGCACGCCTCCCTTCGCAACACGTGGATTTATCTTTTACGCTGATTAAAATTTTCGAGCGTTTCTGTATTATTTGTTCATAATTTTTCCTTCTTTCGTCACTTTTCGTTTGGTTTGTGCCACGGTTTTGGTGCTCTTTTCGATATCTTAATGCGTTGATTTTCGTAGATATTTTTGATCACACAACAAATTTCTAACCTTTGTCAAATTTTTCTTCCCGTGTGACGAGTTTCTTAATGACGATCTATAACGGCTATAAAGAAGAGGAAAAATGTTGTTTCGTTACCGAAAAAGTTGTGACAAGTTGGATAAGAATTAATGGTAAACGATTTACCTAGACCATGCTGTCAACTCGATATTTTGTGTAAATATTACTTCCAACAATTATCTCCCCCCGAGCCTCGATGAGAATCTTCGTATTGAAAATTATTCCGGGAATAAAAGGATCTAGGATAACGTAATTTCTATTAAATATATTATTTTCTTACGTCGATCGAGGGACAACGAACAATTGTTAATCGAATAACTTAATTTATATTCGATCAACAAACAAAATTTCGTGTATCGAGCCACGTGTAAACGATCACGAATAATCCTTTCAACAGTCAAACTTGTTATTAGCAAAATTTCGCGTGTTACAAATTACAAAAGTTATTTCCAATTGTTATTATATAAATTCTCTGATATATACATGACGAAAAATTTGCTAATAAAGTAATCTAGGTTATTTCGCAAAATTACATACCGGCTTAAAACTATTTCTCCAACAAAAATCAATAATCCCACAATTTATCATTTGTCACTTTTCCAATATTATTACTTAGTAAAACAACTGGTCAAATCGCGATCCAACAAAATAATAAAAGTTTAAAACAAATTTTCGAGCTTCCAAAATTTATCAATGTATAATTTATAACCTAATTGCTATATTTACATCTTTATTATTATCATTGTACATACATATATATATATATCTGCATATGTTTACACTCTATCACTCTTCCGATTAGTTAACAAAAAAAAAAAAGAAAGAAAGAAAGAAAAGAACCAATAAATTACAACGTACAAGAGGGATTTAGGAAAGAAGAAAAAAAAGTTTTAAAACACAACTCTTCCCTCTATAAACCGTCAATTAACAGCCTAACCACTTCGAGCCTATCGCGTAAAGCTCATTGTTTAGCTCGACTCTAGTTCCCTTTTTAAAGATGCTTTTCAAAAAAAGTTTCATGCAAGCAAAAACGGTTAAACGTTCGTCCCTTCCTTTTTATTGCCGATGTCCACGCGACAGGACACGCGACAGTTAGCCTTCGATGCCTCGTTGGACCTTCCATTGGACATGGATCGATACGCCTGCTGCGACAATGTAACGCGACATTCGCATTGTTGCGAACGAGACCCCCGAACATTCGAGCGGAGAAATTATCGTTACCACTCCACGCTACGTAGAGGGAAGATTGGCAACACTGAGCAACATAACCGTTGGTTATATTGGCAATTATGAATCGATGACTAGATTAGTTCAGGATCGTGTGTGAATATCGTGAGTGAGGTTATTCGAATGATAAATAATAATTATTAACAAATAGGGATAAACGTTTATTTCGTAATTCAATAATTCTAACGTTTAAATAATGTTATTGTTATTTTTATTCGTGTGATATGAGTTTGTATTATATTCGTCGATTAATCAATCGTGTAGAAGAATAGATAAATAAAAAGAAATAACTTTTCAGAATTCGTACAGTTGTTGCAAGTTGGTACAATTTTAGACGTTGTTGCTATTTACAATACACGTTTCTTGATCGTTGGATTTCCAAGTATCGACCGATGTTATCAGATCTTGGCTCGTGAGAATACATAAAGCGTAATACGAGCCCGCAACAATGTTAGTTTTCAGTAATTGAAGTAATATAAAATTTAACACGAATATAGTCGTGTTAGACAGTCACTTTATATGAATCTCGATAATTTAACAAAGATAATCTCTAATGAAAAAAAAATATAAAAGCTATATATATATATATATATATATATATATATATATATATATATATATT